TGGTGTCGAAAGTATGTGTATATATATATATATATATATGTGTGTGTGTGTGTGTGTGTGTGTGTGTGTGTGTGTGTTCAAAATGTGGTTCGAATATTATTATGATATCATGTTGTTCTTCGGGGGCGTGTTCAAAGCATGAGTCATGTATTGAAATATTGTGACTTCAAGTTAAGTTCAAATGAAAGACGTTGCGTCAAATTGTATAAGAAATCTCCGTGTGCTTATCACCCTTATGTGCTCACTTGTATATTTAAAAGTCTAAAGTTGAAAAGCCTTGTTGTTGAATTACCCGTGATGATATTCGAAAGTGAAAGAATAGAGCATGAAATATGATATGCCGCCAACGTGCCAAGAACGATATTGCGTTATGGCCATTGGTGCCGATGAAATGAATGATATGTAAAAGATTATGAAATGAGTAGTAAATTCCTTTAAAAGTAAATGCTTTGGCAGTATCATTTAGTCACTGAGGAAGGGTAGGTCAAAATAACCTAAGCCTGAAACTACACGTGCCGGCGTAGGAGTGATGGAGGGGTAAATCCCCGTGTTGATGTGATGAGGTTGATTCCCTTTATATTAGATGATATTGATGTTTTGAGATGTTTTCCCTTGAATGGGATGAGATTATTGCTAGCAAGATGTGATGTGATGTCGATCCACATGGCATTGTGGTGAGACGGCTTAGCCGATCGGTCTGAGATCGCACGCCATGCAGCGCACATGGTGGTATTATGGGCGGATGTCTCGGGGTGAGACGGCTTAGCCGGTCGGGCTGAGATCGGACTCTGTGCTAAAAATACGGTGGTGTATCGGTGCTAAGGATCTCCCAGCTTAAAAGATTGAAACTTAATTGAAATTTACCTTGCCCCTAACTTGACACCTTGATACTATTTGAGTCTCTTATTGATTTCATATTTCCTTCTCTGTTTACTGTTATTCGTTCTATTGAGAGGGTGTTTATTCGTACATACTAGTACTATTCCGTACGTACTAACGTCCCTTTTACCGTGGGCGCTGCATCTTTAATGGATGCAGGTGGTTCCACAACAGGTGGTGTTGATCCGTGATAGCAGCATACCCTCTCCTCAGCTGACTTGGTAAGCCCCACTTCATTTCGGGGTCCTGTATCTCTTGTCCTTGTGCATAACATTTTGAGGTATAGTCGGGGCCTTGTTGCCGGTATTGTCGTAGCACTCTTTTGTTTCTGTTAGAGGCTCCATGGACATAGTGTGGATTGTATTTAATTTTGGTAAGGATAAACTGAAAGTGTTGTAATTGTATCATATGTACCACTTCAACTATGAATGTATAGTGTACTACGCAGCCGCGCGGTGAGCACAAAGCGAACTATTTTTCGCCTTTTACTAAAGAATACCGTGTGTGCACCGAAAATAGTGGCATACGCCTATTTTTGGAGGGGGTTCTCAAATTGAATTCCCCCTAAAAAAAATAATTTAAAAAAAAAGAATGTATAGTGTACTAATTTGGAGACTTGTTAATAACGTAACTAATGGAAAATGAACCGGTGCTATTCACATGACCTCTTATTGTCTAATTAATGAATATGTATCCTTCTTGATTTTTAAAAATAGCCAGATTTACAACTGGCCGTTCAAAAATAGCTCAATTTCAAAAGTAATCGAAATTTAGCCACTTTTTATGTAAAGATAAATCTGAGCGAAAACACTGTTCAAAACCCGGAAAATACTCCAGTATATTATGCTGGAGTTCCAGCATAAGTATACTTGAACTCCAGTATATTATACTGGAGTTCCAGGATAGTATGCTGGAACTCCAGCATAATATGATGGAGCTCCAGCATAAATACACTAGAACTCCAGCATAATATACTGGAGTTCCAGCAAGTATAATGGTCCAGTATAATATACTGGAGTTTTGAGTACCAGCGCTCCAGTCTCCAGTATATTATACTGGAGCCAGCAAAGTATACCGGTCCAGCATAATATACTGGAGTTCATACACAAGTGCACCGAACTCCAGTATATTATGCTGGACCGGTCTCTATAGCAGCAAAACGGTGGCTATTTTTCATTGACTTGGTAAACGCTGGCTATTTTTGATTGACCAGTCCAAAAACTGGCTATACCGTGAAATTTTGGCCTTTATTCATGGGTGAGTTGGGTAGATGGCTGTGCAGGCTTGCTCGACCTGGGTATCTCGATTGAGCGCCGGTCGCAGGAGTAACATTAGACAAAAAGTTTAATAGATCAATATTGCTTAATTTTAAATAGTTCAAGGGCAGTTTCAATAGATATACATACGAGATTCTGAACTACTGTACATAGTCATATTGGCCTTTGGCGCAATCAGATTTGAATTTGCTTTATTACACTCATGAAATTATGGCCTAATCTGCACCACTCTCATACAGGGAATTACGGTTTTCAGCCTCTGATTACTTCCTGAAAAAACAACTTTTTCCCTAATCTTGTAGTGATACACCTAATCTCCCAATTACTATCGTGCATTATCTAGCGAAGAATAAAAGAAGAAACAACTTTGAAGGTGACAAAATTCTAGGTTGTACGTACCACCAGCTAATAATCGATGCAGATTACATTAAAAAGGAATGTACCCAACATAATGAATGTCATTAAGTGAGAGAAGCAGTAAAGCATTGCCAAAGGATGCTACAAAGTCGCTGAAAACAATGTAACACAATGAAACGTTTGAGTTATGAAACAAAGAAAGCTATAAATTTACTACAACCAGGACCTCAAAGTGCTCTGTGATTCTCTCTTATGCAAAACTTTGTGCACAGCTCTCTAAGTGCGGACCCCCCTGTTAAGATTAACCATGCGACCTGATCCATCCATCTGACTTCCCCTCGCACCTCCACCACTCTGATATCTTGAGCCTTGACCACCGTAAGTCCCCCGGGCCTGGTTAGTACGGTCCCTCGATGCTTGCCCAGAAGCTGATCTACCACCTACATATCCTGTTCGGCCACCACCACCACCTTGTCTGCCTTGTGAGAAGGAGAAATCCTGCCACTTACCAGCACCAGCAGCTGCAGCAGCATAATCTTGGCCGTCCCGGCGCTTCAGGGGATTGCCCTCCAATCCACCACCACCTATCCTCGATTCTGTTGCTCTTTCATTACTTTCTGCTAATACTGACAGCTTTTCCGTCAACTGGAATGCCAAAGCCTGCAGTCTTGTATGCTCAACATCGTGAAAGACCATGCATCGGGATGGTTGATCCCAGCTTGCATGAAGCTCCTCAGAAATCATCATTTTGCTCACGATGCTATGGATCTGTGAATCTGAAAGGTCAAACATCCCTGCAAGCTGATCCAAACTCAAAGAATTATAAGAAGAAGAATATGTGAAAAGATAGGTCCTCAGTGCCTCTTCCTTTATTTTGCC